GTTCTCTGCACATTGCTGTGAGAGGGGTGGGCCCACAGGGGGCACAGCAGGGAGAGGGCAGCAAGAGGGGGAACACATACAAGGTTGTTGAGTGGGCAGCAGAGGCAATACATAATCATCCACTGCTTGCCCATACTCACCAGCCAACGGTGTGCAGCCAGTGTCAGCCAGAAATAGGAGGGTGGATAGGAGCTCTGCTGGCCAAGAGCCCACACCCAATATTCTGATAGACTAGCAAGGGGAGAGGTCCAGCCCAGCATGCTGCATCTTTGCCCCACCACCAGCCTTCCACACCTACCCCCATCGTTGGCCACTGGACTCCCACACACACACACACTTACCGCTATTGGGCAGGCAGTTGGCGAGCAGAGATCTGGCCAGCAGCAGGACCTGCTATTACTGAAGGAGGGAGACAGAAAATACAGGACAATTTGCCCATTTTTAAGAAAAAATTGGGACTCTTGCCAAAGGGCTTAAGTACGGCACTGTCCCTTGGAAAATGGGACATCTGGTCACCCTATGTTGGACACTACCATAAAACAATATTGCCATTAGAGAGGAGAAAATGTCAACACTTGCCAGCAGCTGTCCTTCTAGATATAGGACTAAACTGTAGTGTCATAGATGCCGCTATAGCAAGAGGTGGACAAATGACCTTTTAGTGGTACTCATTATAGGCTGGGCTCACTCTCATTGCTACATATAGGACAGTTCCACATTTATATTGTGCCTTTTGTGCCACACACATGATTTCAAATCGGCCATTCTTGACCACTTATCCTAAAGGCTATGCTGAGAACCAACCAGGACAAAGGCTTCCTCTGAAGCGTTGACCTGTCACTATCTGGAGTGATTTCAGGGAGAGATTTGCACCTTTGAAACCCTAGCACAGGACAGCTCTGTACTTGGAGGATTTATGCTGGTAAAAGCCATTTTCACCTGAATCAGAACAAAACTAACGAGAAGATGCCAGAACTGAAAAGCACCAAGTCCAGGGATGGGCAATAATTTTAGAAGGGGGGGTCACTTCACAAATTTGTGAAGTGGCTCCAAGCTGAGGGGCAGAGCCAGAGCATTTCCTGTGCTCCCCCGCCCACAGACCCTGATTAGCCTGGGGGTGAGGGAGCGTGTGAAGTCTTTGCCCCCTACATCTCCTTCCAGTGCCTAGAGAGACCTGCCAGCTATTCTGAATAGCTGGTGGTTCCCTCTAGGTGCCACGCACCCCTGGCGGAGGGAGGAGACTTCACACGCTCCCCTGTCCCCTGGTCATGATTGGCCTGGAGGGTGGGGGAGCGGCAGGGCAGCCACAGGCCGGATCAACCAGCTTGGCGGGCTGGATCCGGTCTGCAAAAGCGCTACAGTCTCCCCCGATCAAGTCACTGTAAATGCCTTTTATATTAAAAAGACTAACATGAAATCAAGAGGCCTGGCTGTCAGCCCAGCTGTTGCTGGGCCAATATTTTTGCACTCCAAGTAATTGCTGGTTCCATCATTGTTACTTGGACAGAAGCACCTTTATGTGCTCACAGAGCACAGACCTAGATTCCTACTTGGCAAACACTCGAGGCCACAGAAAAGGAAGCCAGCTTTCAAAAATCCATTATCCTGCCATGCACAACCGGAGACCAGTAAATATATCGATTAACTCCAATAATGGACTTTTCACGGATTGCAGGGGTCCATAGCAATGTTCCCTGTAAACTGCTCAGCAGCACAGCTTCACAGGGGATTAATCAGCCCCACCCAGTCAGAGGCTCAGGGCTCTGTGCATGGAGCTGACTGACTGGGTGGGGCTGATTAATCACCTGTGAAGCTGTGCTGCCCCACAACTTAGAGGGGACACTGGTCCAGATGCTCAGTACTTGTCTCCAGGCAAGTTACTGCACAGCCAGCCAGGGTGTGAATTTATTTACAGTGCACTAGCCTGCAACCAGGAACATCTCATGTGGACTGTACTACGGAGCAGTGAAAGCCCCAGAGTGCGGCCTGATGTACGAACTGGCTCCAACAGCAACTTTGCCCTGTGGACAAGTTCTTAGACAGAGCCAGCCTGTGAAAGTGGTGAGACAAGCAGGGGTACACTCTGCAGGAGTCTGTATCGGATGGCAGCAGAAAGACTATCGAGACATAGCTCCCACTGCACTGCACACTTCTGTCTCGTTCACAAAACGACATGACAGAAGGAGCACTCTGAAGTGCTTCTATGCTGTCAAAACACCACCTTAAAATAATTTTGGGCTTCAGGGGTCACAACTGTGCCCTACACAGTAAAGTTCAGTTTACAGTGGAAATGGGTCTGGAAATACCCAGCAATGCATTAGATTCTGAAAAAAACCAAAGCCTTACAAGATTCCCAAAAGAATCTCAGTTCCATCATTGTGCCTTAAATCAAAGTGGAGTCTATCTCCATCAGCAGTATCCAAGAACAGGCTGAGGCTTCAGCATCACAGAGTCTGAGCCCTTTCAAAAGGAATTGCATATCGGCGCAGGGTGAAAGCTTGACAAGTTAACTGGATATATGTATATTAGATAGCTGGATATGATGGATAATGAAGTTAGATGATGCAAGGACAAACTCAAATGCTTATAACGAATTATTTTGTTCAAGCTGGCATCCTGAAAGTCCAAGAGGTGAGAAACATTTTAACTGTTGTAGATACATCTTCATATTGAAATTGATCTTAAGTCTTTTCCTAGTGGTAAAAGAAAAAAAATCAGATTTTTGTAATAAACAGGACATTAGACAGTATCCTCATAGAGTTGAGATCAAAGGTGATCATGTAGTCTGATCTTCTGCATAGCGCAGATTATAGAATGTCACCCGTTAATTTATGCATCAAGCCCAATAACTTGTGCTTAAACAGAGCATATCTTACATCAGAATTAATTCAGAAATTTAGGCATCTGATTTGCAGTTTGTTTAGGGGATGCAAACATGCATGCAAGTGTGTCCTTGTTTCTCTACAAAATTGCTAGTATTAGGCATACCTGTCAGGGAATTGTGCACAACAGCCTAATTAAATGAATTTTTAAATGCAGCTAACTGATTTTGTGTAATTGTGTATGTACATGTGTTCTCAAAGTGCTCCTAGACTGCTCTTAAAAAATCTTATTTGTAGTAAACAATCAAAAATCTTCCCTGAACAGTTATCCTTGACTAACAGAAAACTCCAGTGCTGCAGAGACTAAGAGAAAGGGATGAGGGAAAAGAAACAGATAAATAAAATCAACTACATATGTAAGAGGCCAAAGCAGAACATTAATTACAATTATATGAAGTCAAATATTTCTCCAGTATCCATTATTATGTTGATGGGGGGGGAATCTAATTGGCATGCTGGGTGAATTCTACATCAGTAAATATTTAAGGTGTATGAGTTTATTAGAAAACTATCTATGGCCAGAACCTTAGCTGATATAAACTAGTATAGTACTGCAGATATACTAGCTCATACTGTTCATTATATAAACAAAGGGCTTCTTATGTAAAATATAAGGAACACTGTGTGATTGATTATTAAATCAAGTGGGGAATTGCACTTGACAGTTGCCAATGCTGCAAACCAGCATTGGCACAGCCATTTGTAGCTTTCTGTAGAACATACACAACTGCTATTTACAATAGTGATAATGAAGGGAGCTGCAGTGGTCCCTGAAGAAGGTAAATTGAGTTACAGATACAAAGAGAAAGATTAACTCCTTTATCTTCTCCTGCTTCTTCTTTACAGCGCCTATTCATTTTCCTTGTTGACTGTGGCTCTGTCCTGCTTTTGCTGCTTTGGATTCTACCATCTTTGCAATCTCACACAAATTCCTTTCCTTTTTTTCCCTTACTGTGCTGCCTTGTGGCACTCATGCAAATAGTCTTGCATTCTATATCTGGCTACCTGGCTCTAGGTCAGAACACTCCCTTCTACTTGCACCTGATGCTCCATCCTGAACCTCCTGAGGCAAATGCTAGCTCTGATCTTAACTGCTGTGGCCAGAGGATCATATACACTAGGGCTACATCTACACTGCATCGTTTTTGCAGAAGAGGAAATGCAAATGAAGCACTCGTTAGCATTTCTGGCACTCTCATTTGCATAGTCTCTTCTGATCCTTTTTGTGGAAGAGGCTTTTGCGGAAAAAAACGCAGTGTAGACGGAGCCATTTTTTGCAAAAAAACCCTTTTGCACAATTCCTTATCCCTCAAAAAATGAGATTTACAAGATCTTGTGCAAAAGGGATTTTTTGGGGAAAAATGGCCCCATTTACACTGCGTTATTTTCTGCAAAAATCTCTTCCACAAAAAG